TTCTATATCATATAGATATAATCTATCTATATCTTTTTTCTATCTACCTCTATCTATCTATCTATCTATCTATCTATCTATCTATCTATCTATCTATCTATCTATCTATCTCAGTGATTAAAGATGCTTTCAGAGTAGGAATCTGAAAAGTGATTGGCTTGATTTCTTTCCAATGTCCCGGGGGAGCCTGCCATACAGGCAGTCCTCGACTTATGACTGCCGTTGAGCCCAACGTTTCTGTTGCTGAGCGAGATGTTTGTTGAGTGAGGTTTGTCCCATTTTACGGCCGCGTAAAATGGGACAAACCCGAAGTGTGGATGCTTGTGTGTTTTGAGGGGACAGGGAATTTTGGCAGGTGGGGAGGTGTTTGGGGATTGTCATGTGTGTGTGCATGTTGGGTGTTATGTGAATTTTGTTGTATGTGTTTACTATGTATATACGTACAATGACAATTATTATTATTATTATTATTATTATTATTATTATTATTATTATTAATTAGTGAGGAAGGAGGAGGGAGCACCCAACGGCCTCGTATCATCATCTCTCTTCCGTTCCCTTTCAGAGAAGGGTTGTGCAAAGGAGAAAATAAAGAAAATGAAAGCTAGCAAAGAGACTGAGGAGTCCAATAGAAGGACTTTGTAGCTCAGGGTTGAAAGGAGGGGTTTGTTTCCTTGAAGACGTTTCATTACCCAACTAGGGAACATCATCAGGGCTGCAAGAAATGTCCGCAAGAAAACAACCAAGCTCAGAGAGCACCCAAGCACCTGGGAGCCCACCCCTTTCTCCCCCCACCCCCTTAGTCTTTTAAGAAACTGTTGACGGTGATGGAATTACAGAATAACAGAGCTGGAAGGGAACTTTGAGGCCTTCTAGTCCAACCCCCTGCACAAGCAGGAGGCTGTCTACAATCCGGACAACTGGCTGTCCAATCTCTTCTTTAAAAACCTCCAGGGATGGAGAGCCCCCAAGTTCTGGAGGCAATAGGAGTTCCTTTCCTTCTCCTCCCTTCCCTTCCCTCTTTTTTTCTCTCCTTCCCTTCCTCTTCTCTCTCTTCTTCCCTTCCCTTCTCTCCCCTCTATCCTTCCCCTTCTCCTCCCTCCCAGTTTCTTACTCCCAACTAGCCTTCTAGGGGCACGCTGGCCCTATGCAGCAGAAGCCCCTCTACCCCCCCCCAAGCGGACCTGGTGCTAGGATGGTTAAATCACCAATGGGTTAGGTTCTTATGCCAACCCCACCCGTGTGGGTTTCACAAGAGACCGGCTGTCCAAGGCTACTAGGTTAGGTTGTGAACTGGTCAAAGTCTCTGTATTTGCAAATTTCCCACATTTAGCTATTTGGCCACTTGGTGGCGCCAAATTCCTGGTTGGATCCTGGTTGGATCTAGCAGCTTTCCTCCTCTCCCCCCCCCCCCCCCCTTATTCTAATCAAAGAAATTAAGCATTGAGATCTGCAAGTCATAGGCCCCGATGAAGAGTTGGCAAGGGGGTTCGGCTACCTGGGTTTCATAGGAGGATTTTAGAGAGAGAGAGAGAGAGAGAGAGACAGACAGACAGACAGACAGACAGACAGATACACACACACACACACACACACATATGCTTTATGGGACGATCAACTCCATGCCATGGTGTCAAAACCAAATTAAAGGTGGAGCAGGTGGAGAAGAAATGCGTCTTTGCCGTTTTCTGCCTCTCCGCTGCCCACTCTGCAAAAGGAAACAAAAATAAATAAATAAATAAATAAAGAGAGAGAGAGAGAATAGCTCACCCCGGGCCCTTTGAGCACTACTCCCGCTGCTAAGGCACGATAAATAATAAATAACATGACGCCAGCGCTTTAAAAAGGGCCAAGAAATTCTGCAGTGCTTCGCCGGTGATCTGTTGCCTTCACAAGATCACGCCTGCTGGGCAACCTTCCGAAATCTCTCCGAATTGGAAGCCTCTTTGTCAGATCCAAAGGGAGGAAGAAATTTGTTTGTAACTATGTGGCACAGATAGGAGACCACCGAGGGTTTGTTTTCTGGCTTTACGGTGCCACCTCGACCTTTTACAGAGGTCTTATTAGCGTAGAGACCTTAAATAAAAGAACCCACAATTGATGTGCAAACCGCCAACATATCTCCTCCCTCTGGTTCAAAAGGACCATAAACCAAGGAGTAAATTCAGATTTATTTCTTGCAGCTCTGAAGCGGAGATACAAACAAGATACTGATTGCAAGCAGTGTTATATCCTTTTGCATATACTTACACAGCTAATCCTCGAGATACGGCCACAACTGGGGAGCAAATGATTGTTGTGGCCCAGTGAGGAGGTTGGGGAGGAACATGGGCCAGTCCTGGAGTCTGGGGAAGGCTCTGATGAGGGCTCTGGGTCAGAGGCAGAGATGGGGCCAGGGCCGTCCGACAGTTACCAACTGCCTTCGGAGTCGGAGATCAGTGGGGAAGAAGAGCAGCTGGAGCCTGTTCCCAGTGTGCGCAGGCACAGAGCTGCCAGGAGAAGGGAACAGCTAAGGAACAAGGGCCGACTCGGGAGTAAGATCTGTTCCTGCACTCTTGCCGAGTATTGTCACCTACAGTGTGGCATCTGAAAGATGTCGGCCTGGCATCTCACCGAGCCTGATAAAGGTCTGTAATTGTGGAATATCTTCAAAGACTGTTGGCCGGGACTTTGGTGGAGAGGAATTCACCGTAAACTAAATAAAAGGGGTTTATCGGGACGAGGAGTCGGCTTTGTGCTGTTGGGGAAGCCTAAATCAGAACAGACGCATTTTTTGTTTTCTGCTTCTAAACCAAGCCCGTGCTTTCCCCCATTCCTATGGGAAGTCAGCAACTCTCTGGTTGTCAAGACAGAAAGCCTTTCACGTTACAGATCTAAAATAAATCGTTTTGGTGGTTGTTTTTTTTCTCTTTTTTCCTGAGAGGGGCCTTCGACTTTCCTTTAGCAATCTCCCTGAGATCTCTTGATGATGCATTTCCTTCCTCGTTTCTTGCTCAAGGACGATAATTTTACCTTTCTGACAAAGCCTGCTGTCTTGGCTGAATTAAACACTTCCTTCTCCGGTGATTTAATTCCAGAAATGCACAATACCCCACCTCAGGTGGCATTCCTGCCTACAACTAAATTTATTCCCTATTTACTCCCTTTTTTGGGGGGGGGGATGGGTAAGTCTCCCCGGGGCAAGGGGGGTTGGACTAGATGATCTACAAGGACCCTTCCAACTCTGTTAATCGGAAGAACCCAAGCCTATAGTTTTGACTATGTGTCCAATCACACTTGGCCAATAAAAAATAATTCTAATTCTAATTCTTGTACCACAGTGCTTCTCCGTTCCTTAAAACAAGACTTGCCCATGCATTTTGGTCAAAATTAATCGGCTTCTATCAAAACCTGAGCAGAGTTAGGCAGAAGAAACCTTCAGGAACTCGTAATAATTCCTCAGAATCAATCTTGCTTTCAAATTAAAAAAAAAACAGTTGCTGAGACTCTAGAACGATATCACAACTCCAGGTGACGGCT